ATAATTGAACCCATGGAGAAAATGAAAGGCACCATTTTTTTTTTTTTTTTTTTGGGGGGGGGGGTAAAAATAGGCGTCAATTAAAAAGTTGTACACGTCTGAATCTTAAGATCTTAAGATGGATGAATGAAAATGTTCGAAAAGATGGCATAAGAAAACAAATTTGTTCAAACATGGGAGTGCTCCAATAGTTGAAAAAATGAGAGGAAAAGTAAGCTAAGATTGTTTGGTCCCATGCTAATAAAACCATCTGTGACACAAGTGAAAGGATGTGATATGTTATAAGTTGAAGGTTCGAAAAGAGATAGAGGCAGACCAAAGAGGAAATGGGGTTGAAATAGTGAGAAATGATTTAAGGGCTCACGACATATGACACTGAACAGAGGAATAGTATTCATTTGACCAGCCCCATATGTACGAACGAAAGCATGTAACCCTTAAATTTGGAATCTGTGATTCAATGTTTAAAATGAAGATCACTAACAATACAAGTATGAAAACCACATTTAGAAGTCAAATATACTACTGTAAACAGAAATATTCTACGGGACTACATCCATTATGCTTTAGTTGGTAACCTACTAGCAACAGGAAATTCTCCCTAAAAGGCTATTACTCAAACCCATGTTCTCACATTGGTCAGGCTGAGATTTTACCATTTCACCAAGTAACGACCTCTATGGAATCTTCTTCCAATCTCTGTAAGTAGAACTTTCCACCAAGGTTCAAAGTATCAACACGTACCGGACGATACGTATCGTTCCGGCACCCCACCGATACTCYCCTATAGTGGGTGTATTGGTCGTCTGACTGGTTCAGGGTGTGGCGAAGACCTAAACCAACTCCCTTGAACCAGTTGGCGAAAAAAAAAAAAACCACCAAAAGGAGTATCGATTCGCCTGATACACCGGTATGGGCATATCGGGCGTATCGATATTTTGAACCTTGCTTTCCACAACAGTAACTTTGCCTCGTATGAGTACGCTCTAGGATAACTACAAGCAAGATGATATCTTCTCCCACACTATGCTAAAAGAGAACCTTCCATAACAGTAACAGCTTTGCCTCGTATCAGTACCCTCTGGGTTTGTTCATCTAAATGCAAGTCTAGTGCTCCACCCCTTGGAGATGCCTGGTTCAAATAAATAATGCAACTCAGAGAAAGCCACAAACTACACACAAGATTATAATTGTGTGTGTGTGTGTGTGTGAGAGAGAGAGAGAGAGAGAGAGACATGGTATGCAAGTAGGTCACATTTTCCCAACTTTTGGCTCCAGTAAATTGCCAAGGCACAGTGTGCACTTCCACAAACAGGATCCTGAAAAAACACATGGCATTCCAAATGAATAAAAGAGAGATTCATCAAGAGTATTGCGTATTTAAGATTGCACCTAGAAAGAGAACTTTTTAATCTTGGCATATTTCATGCTTCAATATGGGTTGTACCATTTTTCCTCAAGCACAAAAGAAACTTATATTGGACTAAAAGAGAAACCAAGTAATAACCTTTTGCCATTTGCCAATTAACTGAGAGTAGAAAAACTATGATCATAACACAATTGGAACTATGTTACCATCCCACTACCTCTATGAATCACAATCTATTTGACCCTTAATGGGATAGGTCTCAACAGACCACCCTCTTGTGCCTTTGTTTAGAAGCTGTTCTTGGTAATTTTACTGGTCTTGGTTGTGTTGATGATACAATATGTGAGAACAGGTGAGTTGAGGTCTCTAAGCATTCCAAAATGTGGATCAGGCTGTGCTACCCAATTCTACCTTCCAAGCCTCAATATGATTACCACAGTACCACACTTATCAAGAACCAGGGGCCATTGCTTGGTGTAAAGGTAAAATCTCGGGTGGGCAAACATGAGAATGCAGATTGAGTCTGAGGGCGACCACTACATAAGAAAATGCCAAAAGATTAGGATGGAATCTAGTCTACTCTCCCAAGACTCCAGATAGCTGGGACCAACATTGGGTAATGACCTTTTTATTCAACAAGAACCAGTATTGATAACTATACCCTGCTTATTGATCAAAAAAAAAAAAATTATACCCTGCTTAAGAAGAAAGACACTTGTGTCTAGGATAATTACCTCATGTAGGAAAAGATTATTTAATGTACAGCAATAGGGATTTGTTTTTATCAATTATCTAATGTTCTACGCAATCTCAGTTCCAGCTTCTTATGCAAGTGTTTACTTTCACTGTCACAATAGCCTAAAGATATGCAGGCTAAATATAAGTTAGAGCCTTAAATTTTCTTACCATTTCTTTACAACACATCCCATTTTGGCCAGTTGTTCATCAAGAAGAGTCAACTTCATTCCTAAATCAATCCTTATCTCTCCTAACCTCCAGAGAAAGAATCAATAGAGGATACGATATTTAAACACTATAGGGAAATTAAAACTCATCCATATAAAGGGAGAARGGAGGAAGATTGTATGCATGGATGATATAATAATGTATAAATAACAGAATGTCAAGCCGATATTTTGTCAACCACKTAGGATGAACAATGTTGACAGCAATTAGACATAAGATTCAACTTTATATTTTGGAATCCAAGAAGGAAAGAAAGAAGTAGAATACAAGCATGCAACTTGGAGGAAGATTATATGCCACATACAACATACATGGATGATATACTAATGTATAAATAACAGAGTGCGAGCTAATGTCAAATTGAGATGTTATCAACCACTTAGGATAGACAATGCCCACAGCAATTAGACATAGGACTCAACTTTCTATTTTGGAAACCAATAAGGAAAGAAAATATAAGTAGAATACAAGCATGCAACTTGACATATTGATATGGCAATAGTAATTTTGGTTCTATACTTCTATCAAGCTAATATTTTCTGAGTCAACCATGGATATGTCCTCTTAGGACACAATATGGCCTGTTCTCCCAGGGAAAAAGTGTCACATTCTAACTTCAATTCTTGAGGATTGTTAGGACTCAATGAGCTGTACAGCCAAACCATTGTAGCCCCCATGAATTGATAATAGAGACCCCCATCCAACGTTTTCTTGCATAAGTGAAAAATTTAACTGTGAAATCTGATGTATGCTATGAATCCTATTGAAAGGTTCTAATCTAGCACTTTGACCCTTCCAATGATAACCTGCTTTCTCCCCAAAAAGAACTCCATTGCAACCCTTTCCAATTTTCTCTGAACTCTTTATAGTTTATATTTCAGTTCTAAATAGAATGGAAATGATTGAACAGGATTTGACTCAAGGTGATAAAAAAGAAATATGGCAATAGGTTACATCTGAACAATATATAAACCATAGAAACACTGCAAGGGAAACACATGGACAACCAACAACAGGATGGAATTTACGTTAAAAACCTGAGGTGTCAGACAAGAAGGCTGCATCCATCAGTGTCCAGGTAATATAGAACAGACTATGTAGAAATATCTTCAGGACCAGAACCCCAATAGTCTATTATCATGTAATAAAAGTAATCTAACAAGTCAAAGCATAAAATACCAACCTAAAGTAGTACAATTTGACTGAGGACATGACTCTTGAGGGAGTGCAATWGTGCAACAGGATTTATGTAGTTGAGCCCAAATAAACAGGGTAAGGCTTTGTTGAATTGAGAACAAAAATGGGGCATTCTAAAAAGTCAACATTAGTAAGTTTGATAAAATACCATTTGTGGCTAAACCAGTGATATTTTCTGACATTTTCTTCATGCACAACCAATGATAGGAACTTTGGAAAAAAAGAATCACCTGTACAAATAAAATAACACGATTKTATCCTCAATGGCAACACTTTACCTCATTTACACCCAATTTTGGACAAAAGAAGCGAGTGAAGAAATCAAAGCCAGATCCATGTGGAGCTAGTCCTGTTACAATGACCCCTCTTCCAGCACATTTTTGTATCTCATCAAACTGTGGTTGTAAATCTGCAACAGTCTTTCCTGACGGAAGCTCAACCTATCAAAACCAAAAAGATTCCCTTTCTGAGTATAGAGGGCATAAATTCTAAGGACATATTTTCCTGACTATATGAGCACTCATGCAGGGTATAAATCTGACATTTATTCAATAGGTTACACCTTGCAGACCTAAAAAGTCAGAACAGATGATATTGATCAAGCAACAAATCTGTTTTCTTGCATTCATTTGGTAAGAAAAATGGAGCAAGACACTAATAAAGTTGTGAAGTTTCGTCAATTTCAGGGGTGAATTAGGTAGCAGATGCCAGCCCAAATAAAGAGGTGCTTGGCCTGTTTTTGTATATAATCCATTCTTTTATACTATCTAAAGTTCATAGTTACCAACAAAAAAACAAGTTTGGTCAATTTTGACATGGAATGCCTCCTAGCTGGGATCCATGCGATTCAGAGCTTCTAACCCCCTGTACTGCACCACATAATGCATGTTGCAAAGCAAGGCAGTACTCCAACCCTCATGCAAGTATACATGCTATATCTGTACAATGAACCATTAAGGGATATATCAGATGGAAAGAGTACAATGAGGTCACCAGTGGTAGCTGTCTTCATTACGTTGATCATGGAAGCACCTTTCAGAGTTTGAGAAATTGATGGGATCTCTTTGGAATCACATTCAATGATTGGAACTGCAGGGAAATCCAATTCAATAGAGAAATGCTCTTGTTCTTCACCATTTGAGAATTCCAATCCAACTTTATAAACCTTTTTGGCAGTCAGAATTCCAGACAATGTGAGGAACTCAATTAAATTGGTTTTTACCAAACCGGATGTAAAGATAACATGTGCAGCTGCTAAAGTTGCATGACCACAGAGGTTGACCTATAAACAGAAATCAATCATGAGATTCAGCGTTTCTATGGATATGAAAAATACAAATGAACAGATAAAGAATGTACATCAGAGGACCTGGCTAGAAGAGGAAGTTAAAGGTGCCTGTAGATAAGCCAATTAACCTTAAACTGTGGGACACTTCCATGGAGAGGAAGGATCAATACAAACAACAGACAGGTTAGCACCAAATAACAGATGATCCTAATCAATAGATTTATTCCACTGTTCTAGCAGTGGAAAGAAAGTGAGGATCTAAAGACAACATAAATAATATATCTGGTAGGGGTGCAGCTTGGGCAGGCCGGGACAGACTTAGGGCCAATCTGGGTCAAAGTCTGAGMTAAATCCTATTGCAACTCAGACGAGGCTCAGGCCTGGGTGGTTTTGGGCGAGTTACAAGGTCTTCTTATTCATGTTTTGCATTTTTAACTTTACTTTGGGCCATAAAGTCAAATTTAGAAATAGAATAGACGAATCTTCCATGTAAATACCATTAGATAATACATATATATGGTCCAGTTTATGCCAATCCATCTTTAGCCAGGAAATTGTTGGCAGCCATTTCCATGCAGCAGGTGCTCAGTCAAGACAAGGGAATGGCTTCATAGATGAAGTCCACTAAGTGTTGCATCAAGATGTAGTCTTTCCCGAGATCATAGTGCCTTGGTTCTCATGGCAGTCTGGTCTGGTTGGTACAATATGGTTCAATTTGGACACATACACACATACCCAATCCACCCCCTAATTCTAAAATTTCAAACAAAAGTAACATCAATACATATACATGGGGTTACTCATCAAAAATAAATAAATAAATACATATTCATGGGGTTCATATAGGGGTTACTGCTCAGGCTGACAAGCATGAGAATGCAGGTTCAGAGTGTGTGAGAAGCCACTTTATGCAAAATGCCAGAGGTTAGGTCGGGATAGCGGGACCAACATTGGGGAGCTGACTACTGGGTTGGGTTAGTCCAAGCTTGGGTTGCTCGAAGTCTGAACCCAATCCCAATACATGTTGGTCTGCAGCCCAAGTTTCCACGCCAGACCTAGACTAGAACCAGAAAATCCAAGCTCAACCCGTGCAAAAAAGCTCAGGTTGAGCCCGGCCGAGTTGCAGTCATATACTCGTATATGTAATATCCGGTAGAGAAGTTCAGTCATTTGTTCCCAATTTTTGCACACAACAGCTAATTTACATGGTCAATAACGTTGTGAACTACCTAAATTTTCTGAAACAACTCAAACAAGAAAAGATCTAAAACACCCAAAAGCGAAAATTTCTTGAAGCTAAACTAATGCAAACGAAAATAATACATATACAGAAGTAAAAGATGAAAGTGAGAGGAGAACGTGAAGCGAACTAACCTCTGCAACAGGAGTGAACCATCTGAGACGGAATCTCGAGTTCAACTCATTACCTTCCGACCTGGTATCAGTAATCCGAGTCAAGAAACATGTCTGCGAGATGTTAAATTCCCTTGCAACAGCTTGCATCCACTCCTCGTCTCTCTCCTCTTCCAACAGACAAACCGCGGCGGGGTTTCCTTTGAACGCCGAGTCGGTAAACGCGTCAACCTAGTTGATAACTCCATGGATTTAGAAATGAAGTCAAACCATGCACTACACACACACACACACAAACAGAGAGAGAGAGAGAGAGATTACCACACAGTATCTTACTGGCTTTTTCACCATTTCTGAAGACGGGCTGAAGAGATGCACTGCAATTGTTTCTTTGTCTCACTCTCTCTTTTTGGTCGGGGATAGACGGAACTCCTAGCTTCCCAAGAAATTCCTCAAATATACACCGAGTTGCTTGTAGAAGATGATGGGGGCTCAGTCAGAGCTCAGAAGTTCAAGCTGCAAGACCTACCAAATCCCATCTAAGCGCCTAATGAACCTTTCCAGCGTAGGACCTGGCCGGGTTTAGTGTTTTTTACTGGAATTTCAGAGCTTACTACTAGTACTAGTCAAAAAATGGGAGCTGCTCCTGCTTGAACCTTTCAAGCGTAGAACCTGGCCGGGTGCCCCAACGAACAGAAACCTTTTCAATGTTTTAAAGGGACCATAATAACTCTATGAAAATTTTCCTATATTTATCATTCGAAGATCTCAAAAAGAGTGCAGATGATGCTTTGGATGACGGATAGCCTTTGATGACAGAAATTGCTACCTACTATGAACTGCTCTATCCATTTTATATTCTTTAATAGGATAAAATAAATAATTTAATTTCGTTTATTTTGGTCTAAGGTTTAATAGTCTATGCATCATATTTGATGCAATCATAATTAATATATGAAATAATTTAATCTGGTCAAAGATAAATGGAAATGATCTGACGTCCTGTGTACATTAAAAATAAATAAAAATAGCTTATACTTATCTGCTAAGAAAAAAGTAGCTTTCTGATGGCCAAGATGATAATATAATAAATTCATAATTACGAGGAGGGGAGTTGGGGGAGAATAAGAGGTTGTACAGGAAGTGGAGTTCATATCTTAGATATAAGATTTGAGAGAGGCTGAAGTAGGGGTGATCATTTCAGCCCGGACTGCACAAATCCAGCCTGAAAATTTCGGGYTTGAGTTTGGGTTTTGTGTTTAGGCCTGGTTTGGACCCAAGCCTATATTAGGCCTACAAAATTTAGGGCTGGGCTGGGCTTAATACTTCAAGCCTGGCCTGGCCTACATATATTTAAATTTACACAGCTTGTGTATAATGTATACATATGTATCTATGTTATTTTACATTACTAGTGAATGACCCCGTACTAAGTACGGGGAATCAATGTTATATTTACATTATAAAATCAATACTGTTAAATTTATATTTATTAATATTTTAAATTTACATTATAGAAAAAAAGCTTTTTAATAATTATTAGAATATAGATAGGTTTCTTTTGTTATGATACATAGAAGGTTAATGATTAAGTGAGACCAATAGAATGTAGGCAAAAGTGGYTGTGGATAACCATATTTGCATTTTCTGCACTTTTTTAGGAATGGATTGAAAATGATGGTAGTGGGTTGTGGGTTTTAGCAACAATTTCTCAAAAATTGCCACGTGTCTAGCTTTCTAGAAAATGAGAATGCCACTTGTCTRAATGGTGGTAGTGGGTTGTAGACTTTAACAACAACTTCTCAAAAAATGCCATGTGCCTAAATTTAAAAAAGCCACGCATTTGAATGGTGGGGGCTATATCCCGAAAGCCTTCCTTTAATATATATATAGAGAGAGATTTAGTATTTATAAAAATGTTTAACAAATGAAAACAAACATGTATTACTATAATAAAAATGGCGGCTTAGACCCGACATTCTTTAAGACTTCTGTTATAGAGACAACTGAGCTGGCGTTCTTATTAAAACCGCCACCCAAAAAACTAAAATAAACAAAATAAAAATCTGAACTAACATGACACTTTTACATTTGAGCCGGTCTAAGTAATCGGCCTATTACATTTGAGAAAAAGAGAGAAAGAGAGCAAAAATCCAAAAACTCTTGCACTCACGTCTTCTACTTCCCATGTCCAACATGTTTTTCTAGCAAAACCTTTTTGATAAAGAAATCGATTAAGAAGAGCTTTCGACGAAGGAAAAGGTAAGACCTCTCTTCTTCTTCTTCTTCTTAATTGTTGATTCATTTGTGTTTTCTCCCATTTCTAGGGCATTAGGTGAAGGGAGACAAGAATAGTTAAGGTAAAGCCAACTTCATCCACATCTATTCTCTTTAGGATTTTTTTGCCATTTTAGGGATATTTGATTTTGCATAGTAAATTTATTCCAAGGCATTTTCTTTAGCACATACTTTGGTAGGAATTGAAGATTAATTAGAAGGTCATCTTAATATTGTTTGTGATTGTTCTTCCTAAATGGCCCTGTTGTTTCAGCATTGCAAGCTTAGCAATATCACAGAAGTCGTGCTCCCTTGAATCAATTCGAGCCCCATATAAAGCTTCGCCATTTTATCCTTTTAGGTTTGAACTAGTAATTAAGCACATGTGCTGCACGTGAGAAATTTTTCTTCATAGTAATTACTTAAATTTTAGATATATCATAGTTAAGATAGAAATTGAAAATTAAAAAAAAATAACAATATGATTAAAAATAATTTTAAATATTTATTATTCAATTATGACATCATGTATTTTTTGAAAAGTTGGATCATTGACCCATCATCTAGATAAGAAATAGCATTGCTTTTGAATTAGTTTTAAATTAGGGAAAATTATAGTTGGAGCCAATTGTACATTTAAATTTTGGTTACAAGTTGGTCCATAAACCAACAAAAATTCTAAAAAGCGGCTCTACATTTCAAGTTATAAAAACCCTTGCCATGTCATCGGAGGGTTATGCATGTGGCTATTGCCAACATGGGACTCTTAATCCATATTGGACACAATAAAAATGTTATACTAAAATTGTCCTTTAATGTTGGGTGATCGGAAAATAAAAAAAGGGTTTTTAGTTTCTCTCTCTCTCTCTCTCTCAATCTCCCTCACAGTCTTTCACTCACATTCATATTTATCTACTCAACGACTATATAATTTGAAAATAAATAAAAATGGTTTTTGGTTTTTGTTTTTACGTTCTCTATATCAATTTCTCTCATTCTCTCTCTCTACTCATCGTTCTCCCTCAATCTCTCTCATTCTCTTTCTTGGTCAGTCTCTCATTCTCCCTTAATTTCTATCGTTCTCCCTCAGTTTCTCTCCCTCTCCCTCTCCCTCTCCCTCTCTCATTTTTTTATTTTTTTTATTTTCTTACACGCTTATATGGTATTAATCAGATCATATAGAAGAACATGAGACCAACTTGGTATGGTTCAAAAATTATTACACCAATTTGATAAAATTCACAAGAAACTCTTGGCTATGAAATTTWCATCAATTGGAGAACGATAGAGATTGAGGGAGAATGAGATTTTGACCAAGAGGGAGAGTGAGGGAGAAGAATGAGAAAGATGGAGGACAATAGAGAGAGAGGGAGGTTTTGATTTGGCTATAGACAAAACAGATAGAATGGGAGAGACGGAGGGAACGGGAGATCAAGAGATGACTATGAGAGTGAAAGATAAGGGAGGGAGTGAGAGAGAAACTAAAAACCTATGTTTGATGTAGGTTTTCTATTGTGTCCAACATGGAATAAGAGTCCCATGTTGGCAACAGCCACATAAGCCTCTGATGACATGGAGGAGGTTTTTATAATTTGAAATGTAGAGCTAGTTTTTAGAGTTTGGTTGGTTTTTGGACCAACACCTAATTTTAAATGTACAACCGACTTTGACTATAATTTTCCCTTTAAATTATATATTTCATTTACATTATATAAAATATTTTTTTACTTATCACACTTAATTTTTGTTTGTCTATGGTATCAATAGTTTTACTCAAACCACTAACCCACCATCTAAAAATAAAAATTATTTGATTTTTAGGTTGACATTAAATTTTGTATTACATTTCCATCTTTGATAAAATCATTTCTTATGTACAAAACTTATTTTTGTTCAATACAATGAATATACAATATTAAAGATGTACCCAATATTTTATTTTTTATAAATATATAACATTAGATATGTACCCAAAATTTTCTCTTATCYTTTTTTTTAATTTTTGTGATTCTTTTTATTTTCTATTATACACAAATTTATTATTTGACTATGTCATCATTTAATTTCTAAGTAGATTTTGAAATTGGCTTTCCATTTTTATCATTAATAAAAATACTTCTTACATTTCATAGTTATTTATTTTAATTTTTTATTATTTAATTATGGCATTATTTATTAATCCATTTGACCCCAAATGGTCAAATTGCTTGCCCACCACCGGGAGGGAAGAAAATGGTTTGGTTTTCAAATTACTTTTCAAAATATTTATTTGTATACTATTAAAATTAATATTGTGGATTTAATTACAATAATTTAATGATGAGAAAAATGTATTTTAAATATAGGATTTAATGAGAGAGAATAGGAAAGTATTTTTATTTCCAATTGGTTTTAAATTTTACATTCCATTTTCATCATTAATAAAAACATTTCTTATTTAACATACTTATTATTGTTTAATTTGTATGTTAAAAATGTTCCCAATTTTTTAATTTCTATTTTTTCATTTTATCTATTTTTTAATTTTATTATTTAATTATGGCAGCATGGGTTAAACCCATTTGACCCAAAATGATTTAATTTCTTACCACCACTTAGATGAAAACACTTTTTTTGCTAGGTAGATTTTAAAGGTATAAGCTTTTATGTTATTGGAACTATTAATTTATTAAGTATGGATTTAATTAATAGAACTTAATGATGAGAAGGAATAAAAATGACTTAAATATATGATTCAATGAACATGAATGCAAGTTAATAACTTAAATATTGAATTTAATGAGAGAGGATTGAATGTATTGAATATCTTTAAATTACCTCTTTTCAATTCATTTAATATCAAAAACCCATTACCCTATTTGCCCTCATTTTTTATCATTAAATTTAAATATAGAGGGGTAAGTGTTGTCCTTAGAAAATTCCAGAAATATTCTTGAGGCCATTCGTACTTTTTAAGGTAGTATAGATATTATATATTTATATATAAATATTATAATATGGCATGTATAATTGATATTATATGTAATATTTTATATTATATAATATATAAATAAAAGTTTATATGCATGTTCTGTCATTTAATATAAAATATTATAGGTATGTAATGTTTTATATATGAAAGACATTGGCTTGGAATTAGGCCCGGCCCGGCCCGGCCTGAGCCCGTGTAGACCTGGGCTAGGGCTTATGTTACAAGCCCGGAACCCCAGGCCGGGCTGGGCCTGGGCCTAATCTATAGCCCTTATCATAAGTGCAAAGCCTGACTCGGCCCATGATCACCCCTAGGCTGAAGCAAGAATAGTCTATGATAATAGTTGTACATAATTGCCTCATGTAGACCTACTTCAACTTGTTCATGGGGTCAGGTAACTTGATGGCCAGCCCGGCCTAACAAGATTTTAGGCCTGTGGGCTTGGGCCCAAAATATTAGGTTTGCCTTATTTCACATTAGGTTTAGGCTTTTTTTAAAAAAAAAGAAAAAAAAGAAAAGAAAAATCCAACCTAAGTCCAAGTCGATTTTTTATTATTGAGTA